GGGGCGGGGGGGGGGGGAAGCTGATTTAGGGATAAGAAAGGGTTTGTGGCTCATGGCCTTCCTGGCCACGGACAAAGCACACCAGTAGGACTGCTCAGAAGCGTATTTTTTTGTCTCAGATTACACATACCTTCAGCTAACCATTCTGGGAGTGGAAGAAAATACTTCGTCATTAACAGATGACAAAGATGGACAGTATGTGCAAGTAATGACAGAGGGTGTCATGGGACAAATTACTTCGCTGTTCTCCTAAAATAATATTGAACACTGGGAATAAATATGATGGGGATACACTATAATACACTACCAGGAGACACTCAGTAACTGGTAAGTGACAAACTCAAACTTGTAGCTGGAAAACAAAGGCATAAGCTCTTAAAAACAAAAAAGTGTATAGGCGGTTTAGAGGTAAGTCGATAGAAGACAGCTGTTCAAGTGATAAACTATCCTAAGAGACAGAAAAAAAAAAAGGTGGGTCTTCCCTTCTAATCTTAATTTTGTGAGATAGATTACAAAATCATTCACACAACTATGTTTCTATAGTAATCTATTCCTGGATTGATAAAGAAAAGGAAACTTTAGAAATATTAATACACAGCAAAGGAATACCAGGCAATTACCTTCATGATTTTACATTAAGGAAACTACTGTTAGAAAAGGAATCACATGTGATTCAATGCATTAATCATAGTCCTGCAGCCTTCTCTTCCATAGTGCAAAAGATGGGTTTCATTTATCTCTTCCTGTTTCATTATCCAATCTTTTTATCACATAAACTGTTACTCAATTTTCACTAGTTCCCCTCTGAAATCTTTAAGTGTCACACACAGAAAAAACATCTTCTGTTTCTGTAGTGTCCTAGATACAGCTATAGTAAAGCACAGCATCAATTCATTATTCACAAAAAACAATGTAAAACTACAGACATGTTTTTATCCATAACCTATTTTTCCCACTTCCAGGGTGCATGACAGTGTTGGATGTTATCACATTTAGCCTGACATTAACTGCTTCTTTAAGAATCACCACTAGGTTGCAACTTTTTAGTAAATTCCTGTTCCTAAAACACACATTTAAGTGTAATCTCACTTTATTTCAAGCCATAAAGTTATTTCAAGCTGCTTGCACTTGTCTTTCTGCTTGCCAATCCAAGGATCACAGACTAAGCTGCAGCAAAGACCTACTGTGATCCAGACAAAAAAGTCCTGCCTTGGAGAAATCTGAAGGGAAAAACTCACTAAAGAAAAAAAAAAAAAAACCACAAAAAAACCAAACAAACAAAAAAACCCAAAAAACCCCCTTTTAATGCCTAATGAAAATGCCAATCTGAAATTATAAAAATTTCCCTTAAGTGGGGAACTTAAGACACCTTCAGTAAACTGGTATTAATTTACCACTGCAAAGATAAGTGCCTACATCAAAATATAAGAAGTATTCTTAACTCCAGGGATCTTCTGCTCTGAAGAGAGCAGCAAACTGAAAAACTAATCAGTATGTTGTCAAGTTTTCCTACTGCTACTTAGAACTGCCGTCTGAGATGACAGAGGAAAAAGGTAGGTGAGTTTCAATGACACAGTTTATGAAAGTGCTGAGGCAGGCACTAGAGTTATTTATGTAAGAAGACAATCTGAAATGGAAGCTAGGTTGTGGCATATCAAAAACTGATCTTGACAGCAGCCAGAAGGTTGAGAGCACAGAAGGGTAACTGAGGGAAACACCACTCACCCTTGTAATCCTTATTTTTCTCCTAGGAGTTGGATTTCATTATGTAAGGTTTTGAACAGTGATGTCTAAAATCTGTCAGAAGAGAATTCCCACGACAAAAATCCTTGCTTCCCCTGTATTTCAGGGCCTAGGAAAAGAACCTAGGCTTCTCTGACAGGAATTTGATCTTTGCTATCTTTCCACAACTGCAGAAACTGACATCTTTGAATTTATTAATCTGTGAATTTTCAAGTAATGTAAAAAGATTTCACGTGCATTTAAGATGATTATTCACTTCTGGGAGAGAAAAAGTATTATACTTCCACAGATGAATTCCCGTTTGGTCTGCAAGATCTCTTACTGCCCTCAAACTAAACATCTTTTAAACACATAATTAGAATAGTAGAACTTTAATGGGATAAAAAAGAAAAACCATGAGAGATAGATAATACCTAGCTAAA